TGACACCTCCTGACACAGAGCTCCTGCACTGATGGGCAAATAGGCAGCAGGTCCTCCAACGTATATCGCATTTGCAAACTAACCACATTTTCGTTGTCATGGAAACAGTCACGAACACGCTATAATTATGGAACATCTTGATTTCATGTGTTTAGGCAGCCAAATACAATTTGGTTAGGGAGAATACGGTGGTTTGTTGTAATTCACAGAATAAAAACAGCAGCTCAACCTTTGCATTGATGGTAAAATGTGTGAAGCTCTTCCACATTAACTTCCACGGGGAACCAGACGTTTTTACTGAACGCTGCAGCTGGTGCTTTGCTGTTCATGATGACTTGGATTAGATCACCCTGGTGTAAACTGTAGCACGTGACTCGCGTCCAACCTAAAACGTGTAACACTTTGTTAGGTCCCTCTGTTTATCTGTTATTAAATCTATATGGACATGTTATACTTGTTTATAACGCACTGTAACGCTGATGAGTAACAGTACATCACTTCTTCATATGTGTATTTGAAATATGCTCCAAAATATACACCCAGTTGTCAGTTTATTAGGAACACCTAGCTCAGACTGAGTCAGTCTAATCCAACAGTCTTTCATGAAGGTGATAATGTTATACAAAGAGATATTATTTCATCCGGCCTCACTGATAGAAATGGGTGGGCAGAATAATAAAAATACCTATTTTTCAGGTTTTGCTGCAATTTCTTCAGTCAATTCAATTATCCTCGTTCTCTTTTCAGCTGCCCATTACACTCACACACTCAGGATGCCTTCCATTCTCACGTTCTCAGAAACATATATATATATATACACACAGTGGTTACGGAAAGTATTCAGACCCCCTTAAATTTTTCACTCTTTGTTATATTGCAGCCACATGCTAAAATCATTTAAGCTTAAATACTGAGCAAAGGGTCTGAATACTTATGACCATGTGATATTTCAGTTTTTCTTTTTTAATAAATCTGCAAAAATGTCAAACATTCTGTGTTTTTCTGTCAATATGGGGTGCTGTGTGTACATTAATGAGGAAAAAAATGAACTTAAATGATTTTAGCATATGGCTGCAATATAACAAAGAGTGAAAAATTTAAGGGGGTCTGAATACTTTCCGTACCCACTGTATATTGGATTTATAAGTCAGTCGCAAAGATTCATCTGTGGGGGTTGCAGCGTGTTCTTTTATGAAGAATAATCAGAGTCAAGTTTCAGTTTTAAACATTTATTAGCACAATTGAATAGACTATCGAATAAAGCAATTTACAGAGCTCTGGGTTCCGTCTCCATCCGAAGCCCTGACCCTAAACAGCAAAACCGTTTAACTAGTCTTCAGGACAAGAGGGAACACCTACCTGCCTGGAACCCCATCTCTTATTTGGATTTATAAGTCAGTCGCAAAGATTCATCTGTGGGGGTTGCAGCGTGTTCTTTTATGAAGAATAATCAGAGTCAAGTATCAGTTTTAAACATGTATTATCACAATTGAATAGACTATCGAATAAAGCAATTTACAGAGCTCTGGGTTCCGTCTCCATCCGAAGCCCTGACCCTAAACAGCAAAACCGTTTAACTCGTCTTCAGGACAAGAGGGAACACCTACCTGCCTGGAACCCAATCTCATATACAATTTTTGAAATGTGTAATGTGGGTTGATCTGATGCCTCTCGTGCTGTTCCATTGGTCCATCCATTCCCAAGGTCCTTCCTGCTCCACCTGAAGAAAGATAGTTTTCCTAGAGAGGGAGAAAAAAACCTAGCCCTGCCTGTGTGTGTGTATGAAATTAGCTATTTTACCAGGCAACTGTTTCTTCTAGGCCAAAATGTGACTATAATCTTATCAAACCCTAACTCCCCTGTCTTCAAAGCACAGAGGGAATAATAAGCTCTTGTGGAGAAAAGGCAACAAATCTAATGGAAGCCTGTGAAATGATGAGACCTTGGAAAGTTACTCAGTGCATCACACCTTTAATCACAAGGGCCTGTAATATCACAGAGTTTTTCAATATTCATACAGTAACTTAGTTTCTCATCATTTTAGTGAACATATAATGTGGTGAATAGTAACTTCATAAACATATCTGTGACATGCAAGTATGGGAAAATATAATCTTAACTATTCCTTTTCTAGTATGATAGAATAGTTATACACAAACAAAGTGAACACACAGGTTAAATGAACAACTAGAGTATAACTTTGTTAATAATTTTACTCAACAGGGTCAAACTGTGTTTTGTCCTTTCAGCTATTACATTAATAAATGACATTTAAGAAGGTGGAACCAGTGAAGGGTTGGGATTTTTTTTCTTGATAAATCGCTGACTTAGAAACTATTTTGGAAATAATCATTCTCAGCAGCTGATTAAATTATTACAGCCTGCCCTGTGCTGTGCTACTTTTAAGGTGAATGAAGATATTTTTAACCATGGACATTGACCAGGCTTTGTCACGTGTTGGCATAGTTTTGACTCAGGGTTACATATTGACGTTTTCTCCTCAGCCAAGGCATATTAAGTGACTCTTTTCTGCCCACAGCTAATCTACCCGTTGGACTGAACAGCCCTTATCATGTCTAAAGGCACAGTGGTGCTGTCCTACAGCGGTGGACTGGACACGTCCTGCATTCTGGTGTGGCTGAAGGAACAGTGCTATGATGTTATTGCGTTCATGGTGAGGTTTCGGGACCACTGCGTGTGTGTGTGCGCGCAACAGGTGTCTTGGTTTGTCCTGCCAGCCAGCCCAGCTGGTTTGGAAGTTTTACAATTTGCTCTCTTACCCAGCTGATGTCATTTGTCAAACAGGCATGTGTGAGATTTGCCTTATTAAAACCACAAATTTTGTGTGTGTGTGTGTGTGTGTGTGTGTGTGTAACTGCTGTGGAATGCCAGTGCAACTTGTGGGGAGACATTTCGACATTTGGTTGAATGTGAAACTGTTAATGTGTAACAGTTCTCGGGCTCACTGTTCAGAAAAACATGTTAATAAGGCAAGTTCACAATGACACATGAAAAGATTTAAATGAATAATGAAGTTACCGCAGCTGGGCCACATTCTACATGTGTTTGGTCGGCGTGAGGCAGAGCCTGGAGCAGATATTTCAGTACTATTAAACTTAGCATAGCTGTGATGCTGAGGAAAGCTGAGCTGAGCTGTGCCCCCCTGACCCACCGGCCCAGATTAGCCCTTGACTGTGTGTGATACAGAAAACCATGTTAGTAAGGTAAGAAACAGACCTGTGGGCAGTGCGTGAGAGTCAGTGCTCGTTTTCTTCATTTTACTTCTTTTTCTTTTCTCTGGACGGACTCTTGTCTTCTCAAGGTCACTTCTTTTTTTAATTCTCTGCGCTGACTCATCTTTTCAAGAGTCCTCGCTGAATTTCACCGTCGATGACCTGCTGCGTGTCAGGCCTCAGGGAGACGGAGAGGGGGTCACCATCTTTAGATTTAATGATTCGGGAAGTTGTATTTTACACTGTGTAATAGATCAGTTATTTTGTTTAGATTTCAAAGTTAAACATATTATTATTTTTATTTAATGACGTGCGTTTCCTAAAAGGGCAGGCCTGGTGTGGAGCAGACACTGTGCATAATTGACTGTTGATGATGAAACTACAAATGCACTATGCGTTTGCGTCACCTTGTCAAAAAATGAGGAAAAGCCCCTGCATCAACAGCAGTCAGGCAGAATCACAGTAACTGCGTGTGGCTGGCACTATGATGTGTTTAGCTGCAATTATGAGTTTTTAATGTATTTATTTTAAGTGATAATATTTGTATGTACAGTAAATAACAGATAATGGGGGAGGGCTCAGACAACTAGCCCAGCAGCTCAGATATCCTCTTGCCGCCTATAAATTGTGTTCAGCTGTCAGGATGTTCTTATGTCTCAGCAGATGTGATTTGAATTACAGATGTCAGAATACATTCTTTTCTCTTTTAGCCAAATAAATCACACTGCCATTAGCAACTACTTTGTCAAGGGAGACCTGGCCAAGGTGGCAGCATTACAAGCTTCAGACAATACAATCCAACATAAAACGTACATACAATACTAGGACCAGACAGTGTGTCTGCATGTTTATATATGGAGCGTTTTCGTTCTTCCCAGGACAGCTTTTGGTTTTGCAAAGTGTTGATTGTGTGGCATTATGTAATGAAAAGGAAAATATGGATGGATCCTATTAAATTTAAATAGGTTGAGTTTTATGTGTGTCTTTCTAGGCCAACATTGGGCAAAATGAAGATTTTGAAGCTGCTCGGAATAAAGCAGAAAGCCTTGGTGCAAAGAAGGTGAGAGACTAAATGAAATACGATGAAATGTAATAAGCATACAGTAGAATATGAACATTGTCAGTGATTTTGCATGCTCCGCTCCAGCATTTTCACGTTTTCAAATTGACTTCATGACTGCCAGGCAGCAGAAGGTTTTAGGTAATGCTGGTATAAATGTATTTCTTTATATATTTTGTTCTGGGGGCACTTGAAGCTGTTATTAGACAGCAGCCATTAGTGTGATGATAGGAGAGGGAACTATGAAACATGAATGACCTCTTGACTTTCAGATTAAGGTTAAGATGTTGAAACCAGGGATGTTCATCGTCAGCAACTTAACTTCTAACTTGCCCCATGCTCGTGTATGTAGCGTTTGTGTGGTGGTGGGAAATACTGATGCTGAAGATACAAAGGTTAAATAGCAATAATTCTGCAGTAAGACATGAAATTCTACAAATGTTTTGCCATCTTTTCTTAATATTTTTCATGGGTTTTTCACACTTACAGGTGCATTTTGTTTGTCATGCAGTGAACTCTGTACTGTCTGAAGGTGGCACTTGTTTGGTTAAGCAACATAGATAAATCATTCACCATTCATTTTCCACCACATCTCCCATCATATTCTAGACACATTTCAAGGATAATTTAAGCACATTTCTCCCTGATCAATACTTGAATGTCTATGTTTATGTAGATGATAGTTTTATATGCCAATCCAGTCGAGGCTTTAGCTTAACAAAGCCCTTTTAAGGCAAACATCAGTTATTTCTTTTCCTTGAATGAAAGATGTCATAAATAATTCATGAAACATCTGTCACATTGCCCTGTTTCAAATACTTGACACAAACTTGATCTTCATTCCTATGTAGGTTTTCATTGAGGACTTGCGTACAGAGTTTGTGGAGGACTTCATCTGGCCCGCAATTCAGGCCAATGCTGTGTACGAGGACCGATACCTGCTGGGCACTGCACTAGCACGGCCCTGCATCGCCCGTCGTCAGGTTGAGATTGCAAGAAGGGAGGGTGCGCATTTTGTCTCCCATGGTGCCACAGGAAAGGTAAACTAGACACAGACTACACTACGAGGGAGGAGACGATCACGTATTGGCTAGTATGGCTAAATCCCAGCAGCCAAGACTGAAATAAGAGTCTGAGCTTTCATAACATGGCCTTCACATATCTGTCTTTTCTGAATATTTAGTTAAAGAACATTTATATTTTTGGCTTTATTGTTGACCTGGGACAGAAAAGAGTCATGTTTTTCTAAGCCAAAACGTAGACAAAATCATCTAGATGTAGTTTTAGGTAGAATACGTTTCACCTCTCATCCAAGAGGCTTTATCAGTTCTGTTCAACTGATGGTGAGCAGAAGGTATTTATCCCCCTGGGTGGTGTTTCAGTCCTCCGAAGGAGCTGGGTTCAAACCTTGGCACACAGAAACTGTGTGGAGTTTGCATGGTTTCCCTGTTCCTGTGTGGGTTCTCTCCGGGTACTCTGGCTTCCTCCCACTGTCCAAAGATATGCGGTTTAAGTTGATTTGTAACTCCTACTCTTGCCCGTAGGAGTGTGTGTGGTTGTCTGTCTCTAAGTGTCACCCCTGTGATAAACTGGCAGCCTATCCAGGGTGTACCCCACCTCTCACCCAGTGTCAGCTGGGATTGGCTCCAGCCCCCTGTGGCTCTTTAGGATAAGTGGTATAGGTAATGGATGGATGGATAATTGTTCAAATGTCCCATCATTGGCTGAACTGCAGTCCCTATATTTTGCCTGTAGATGGAGACAAAAACCACATCGTGAAAACAACACAGTGTTACTTTGTAACCATCTTCAGATGTTTCAGTCTTATGTCTCACAGAGACTCTAGAAGGAAGTAATTTTAAAAATAGCACAGACAAGATGTGATCCTGGCATCTGTCATCTCCACTCAACCACCACTGCACACTTGTAGTTACATTTGAAACCATTACAACTGACCTCACACATGATCCACAGACCTCAAGTAGTGACCTCAACTGTGTTTTTCAGGGTAATGACCAGATACGATTTGAGCTCACATGCTACACCCTCTACCCCGAGGTTAAGGTGAGTTTCCTGTTTGACTGTACTGACAAATAATCTGTTGAGATGAAATGATCTATTCACTCAGTCTCTGTTTGTGCCTTTCAGATCATTGCACCGTGGAGGATCCCTGAGTTCTACAACCGCTTCCGAGGGAGAACAGACCTGATGGAGTACGCACAGGTGATGATGGTGCCTCAATAAGTTTTATTATTGAGTCTGTCAATCATTTGGAATTACTGATCATTTGGTCTATGAAATTTCCATAATGACGTGCAGTGAATTTAGTTGCATATAGTGAAGAATGATATAATTTGTTATCCCTTCTAGCTATAACTGACTCATGATTTCAGTTAACATTCAGATTTATTTTGCTTTGATCACACACACATTCTGTCTCTTTATTCACATGGTCCCATCAAGGCTGGATTCATTTTTCCCACTAGAGGGTGGCCAAGATGTTTTAGTTGGCACATCTCTGCTGGAGAATTTGTGAAATCACACAAGCTTAATACACTGAATTCTTGAGTTTTCATTTGAACATACCAAAAATGTCTCTTTTTGTCTGTTTTTGCTCTTTTCAGCATCACATTTTAAACAGAAAAATAGTGGAGAAACAGATGTATAGTTACACAGTTACACAGTTGTTTGGTTTCTCGTATTCAGAACATTCATGACAGACAAGTGTAATTCTGCTTTAAAGTCTGTACTTTAACCTTCATTTGTGTATCATAATACTGCTTTCTTTGTCAAACTAGAAAAATGGCATCCCTGTGCCCGTTACTCCTCAGGCACCGTGGAGCATGGATGCTAACCTCATGCATATAAGGTGAGTAGGACTCGTGTGATACACCTTCTTCACTTTGTGTGTCGGTATCTTTTCTTTCAAATAGATGCTAATTTTCTAAATCATGTTTCTAAACAGCTATGAGTCTGGCATCCTTGAAAATCCCAAGGTAAGACCAGTTCCCAATGGCATGTCTTCAAATTCCTGAAAAGAAAAAGGTCTTACTCTTAATTATTTCTTTGTCCCCCTCAAGGCATCTTTATCCTTTGGAGTATGATGTACTTTCAGTTAAAATTAATCTATTGCAGTACCTGATATAATGTACTTGGTGAATCTGAAGCATTTATGGAGGTTTCTCTACATATACACTGTTATGAACCAGCACTGATTAAAAGCCATTAAAGTCATAGTCTTAAATAATGTATTTTGTAAAATCATAGTTTCACTGACAACGCAAACATAAACTAGAGAATTAAATTTATAATCTTAATCAATGGCACCGTTATTCATTTGTGCAACTTGTAAAGGCAGAATGAAAACGTCCACCAGAGTTAAAGATAAAATGTCAGATTCTACACAAACATTTGGACAGTGGGTGTCCTCTTCACCTGTTCATAAAATGTCTTGTACTACTAATTCTTCATGATCTAATCTAGAGTTGAACAGCACAACCAGGGACAAAACAACAGAGTGGCATAGAAAATAATCTCTTGTTCTCTCCTCACATACACACAATACTGTTATTTTTATAACAGCAGACAGCAAAATATTACATACATCTTGTACGGTTAAAATGCATCATCCACTTGGAGCGACTGTAAAAATAACCTGGCAGTAAGCCTGCTGTGCCCTCCTCTGACCCCTGCTAGACCCACCAGAGACAAACACAACTCACTCTTCCCACAGTGGCATGGTTGAGACACAGTTTGATCTTTGCTGGAGTCAGAGGTCAAAGCAGTACATACAGGTTGCCCCCAGTGACCCCCCAAAACTCCCATCCCTTGGTTGCTGTGTCTGTGTCTGTCTCTCCTCACCCCAGGTCCTCACCAGGCCCTGGGAAGAGCCTGACACACAGACACTGACTTGTCGTCAGCAATGCTTCAACTAATTCCCGATTTCATGGGAGCCAAGGAGGGGGAAGGGTTAGGGCGGTGCACCCAGCTGGGGCCTCCTGAGTTGCAGCTTCAACTCCTTGGGACCTCATTGTTCCACTTGTTGTGCTGCCGCGGGCTGCAACGTGGGAGGGGAGCCATTTCATCGTGACACCATGACACCAAAATGTCACCAGTAACAGTAAAGTACAAAGACAGTGCGCCAGACAGATGAGTCCCCAATGAACGGCGTGTCACAGGGAGGCGAGGGGTCCCGCACTGCTGGAGTGGAGGTGCAGGGGCAGGGCCACTGTAACTCACAGACCTTTATCTCTCTTGCCCTCTTTATATGATCCTTTCTCCCCTACCGCTTTGGTGACCGGCCGGTGGAGAAATGTTTTGAAAAGAATAAGACAAACCAGCTCTATAGCATAGCAATGTATGATGACAGTATTGTGTAACTGGTTTCATTTAGGGGTGTTGTATTGGACCGTTTACTCTGATATTGAATTTATTAATGGCATTAAATACAATGAAATATTTATGGTACAGTGGTCAAGAGTGACAAAGGGATTTGAATATATTCCCCTGGACACCTTATGATACTTAGAATTTTAGATTGGGCTGCGATAGTTTAGTAATTTTGAGTAGCTGCAACCTCTGGCTCTTCTTGCAAGTGAACTTTTTTAATATGAAATGCAGTATGTTTGTTAATTTGAGCTAGAGTAACTGTCATAACAAGAAAATCACAGTATAAAAGTATCATTTCTTCTTTTTAAATACTCATGGAGATCCAAATTAAATCTGGAAATGAATATAAATGCCCACTTAACTTCAAAAATAATCACTAAAGTAACAACAAAGTGAATGTCTCACACTGACATGTCAGATTCTGATCCATCTAGAAGGTCATCTGAAACAGGCCGTTATGTTCTAAGCATCTCCTCTCTGTATCAGCCTCTTTCTCTCCTCCAGTTACAACCCTAAAGGCTTGGACCTCGACTATTCACACCCCCAAACCCCCCCCAACCTGTGGCACAATGGCTCCTCTTTGCTCAACACAGTCAGATTAGGAAATGTCCAAATGATCGCTCATATGTTCACCTGTAGATAAGAGTCAACAGAGTTCAGGTTACCCTGTGATTAACACAGAATCCTTCCTGATAACCCAAAACCATGTTGCCTTTAGCACAATGGCCTGGTGGCTATTTTTTATTTACTCGCCTCCATCTGTTGGCGTTGATTATGTGAAGACATGCGCCCAGGGCAGCTGCAGCTAGCTGTTACCATGTCCATACACTCATATAGGCATGCACCTAATGACTGCTTTGAGTTAGTGGTTGCACCACATTATATCCTGGTTCTGTTGGCATTAACACTGGGCGATGTGCTTGAGTGTATTGTCGACTGACTGAAATTTTTCTAAACCATTCAGATGTTAGAGGCTCTCAGGGCAGTCCCCTTGATGTCTCTGGTTGTTTTTGACCATTGCTGCACATCAGTGAGCACCACTGGACTGACAGGATTTTGACTTGATGTGTGATTTGTCAGGTATTTCATACACATGATTAGCCAAAATATATTTCCATTCGTGTTATTTAACTATAAATGTTGGGCAGCTGAATTTCCAAAAATGTTTTTTATATCATGATACCAACATTGTATGTAGTGTAATGTTTTGTATACTATTAAAAAGGATTTCAACTCTATCATCCATCTGTAGCTGGCATTAACAATTCAGATTGTTATGTTTTAGATATTTCTGCACCCTAGATTCCTCACTATCTCCTCTCTGCATCCCTCCACACACAAGCAGTCAGGGCCCACCCTGAGGCAGCCTGACACTTGTCCTGAATCATTAAAACATCACCTCAGTCTTAATTATAGCTTCTGCCAGTGCGCTTCCCAAGGCCCACCCTGTGCTTTGATCAGGGAGTTGATGGGCCGCTGTTCGTGTTGAGCAGGAGTAAAGGAGCGTAAAGCCAAGCCTCCACTCACTTTAGAGGAAATGAAAACTTGTTGTCTGCTGGTCGCATGGCTGGCTGGAAAGATGGATGGATAGGAGGCTGCCTGTAGGGGAAGGAAGTGGGCTTGTAGATGTATGTATGCTTGTGAACGTGTGCTTTGAAGTAAACAGCTCAGCTTTGTCATGAGCTCTCGCTGCCCTCAGGTCTGATCGGTCTGACCTGTAATGCTTAGCCAGTTCTCTTTGAGTCCATCTCAGCATCACTGTGGCTTTGTGTAGAAATGCCTCCCATCCTCATTAAATTCAGCCGAGAGTCTAACATTAACCAAAACATCCTGGGTGTTAAGAACAGAAATATATCTCCAGCACATCATGTGCATATTGTTTTATTTCTGTCTCAATTTGCCATGTTTGCATTTTAAAGAGGACAGACTTGAAACATGGTGATTTAAGCATCAATTCCAACCCACTGCAGCAAAGATGTTTTACTCTTTTTCTCTTCCATTTCTACTTTGCCTTCCCTTCCTCCCTTCACACCCTCCTGCCACCTTTGAGTCTTTTTGCCCTGTTGGCCTCAATTGAAAACCAATGAGGCAACTAATATGTGGAAAGATAGAAATTTACTTGCTTTAAGTTCATACGTCAGCCTTCTTCTTTGCTATATGGACCATGTTTAGCACAACAATATGGCAGAAGCAAAGACTGCCAAAGGAGCTGCTCTGAGCTACATGATGGTGCGCTTCACGCCCCATTTGCCACCAATACCTCCTGCCCCCTCGCCTTCTCTATCTCTACCTTTTCCTCTCTTTCAGGGCCATGGCTTTGGGACAGGTCCACCTGCAGGGGGTTTGAATTGAAATGCATTGATCTCTCGCTCACTGGAAACAAGCCTATTCCCCTTACTTTTCCTTTTTTCTTTGTATCCAACAGCCTGTAAATTTGAGCTCACCCTAACAAAATATGCACGATTTCTTATGTTAATCAGTTATTATGAATTTGTATAAGTTAAAAAAAAATGTTTTAATTGATCAGCTCAAAATTGTTCCACACTCTAAAAACTGCTGGTTTATAGGTAATAAAAACTGAAGTAAAACTGAAATCCATCAGAAATCTAAGAATTTATTTCTCCAGAGCAAGGTAATATTTAAATCTGTTTCTTAAGGAAGGAACTTGGCACAGACAAATGCTGTTGGAGCTAATGAGTTTTACATGCTACTGTGTTTTATTTGAAGGGCAAAAGTGACAACCATGTGTTTAACTGGCACAGAAACTGTATACGTTCTCTTTCTTCAGTATTTAAAATTCAGTCCATCTTTCCCCCCTCAAAGAGTGTGCATCAAAAGGCTTTTTAGACTAGTCATTTCACCCCTCTCCTGTTCGTTCTCATTTGGCATCTTTCAGGGAACTGAGGCAGAAAATAAAGGAGAGGGAGATGGGCGCCTTCTCAGTCAATTTTTGTGTTTAGTTAAAAGGAAGGAAAGTGATTGCGCTGCTCGTTCTCTCCTCACTGGCAGCAAGCGGATGCCGATTAGTTATTGTATGAGGATTTAGTGTCTGGTAAAGCTTTCCATTTAAATGCACCCAGTAGTTATTTTGCATAGTCCCCCTGCAATTTGCCTCAGCTCAAGAGACATTGGCCATCGTCTTGTCCTAATGCTGTGTAATTGTTGGAGGGGCACATCACTGACATGTCAGAGCGCCTGGCTCTTATAGGTCCCCGCCATGACTTAGTGAAATCGCTCCCGGCTCCCACCAACTGGAAGAACGAGAAACGTCTGTCACCCAGGACAACTTTAGTGGATTTTGGGAAGTGGACTTTAAGTCTTTGTTGTGTGCTGCCCATTTAGCAAAGTTCTTGATTTGAAAATAAAATAGAAGAGATATGTCACTCAGAAAATCAGGAGTGGAAAACTGGTAGCTTCAAGGAGGTGAAGACAGTTAGACAGGAACCACAGATGATAAAAATGGGCAGATCAGAGATTTGTACAGGCAGGAAAATATTATTGAGGATTTACTGTTGTTTAGATAGGTTCTGTCATTGTATCTGTTTTGACTTGTCAAGCGGTTGCTATTTGTAAGCCATTTCTCTTTTTTTGCCCTTTCCCACTCTCCTTGTCACTGCACCCTACTTTCCCCGCCTTCCCCTGTAGTGAAGGGCCATGCAGAGAAAATGAAACCAAAGAGAGGAGAAAAATGAAACATTGATTCTTTTTTTGTCTTCATTCAGGTTCTGATGACTTTTTCAGGTTTCTCCTCTTTCACGCATCATCCTCTCTTTTCTTTAACCCATTGTCAGCTATCACCTCACTCAATACTTTCCACATTTGCAGTTCTGTTTTCTGATGAGGTCTCAAAAGGTCCTGCTTTTTCATTAAGTGAAATAAAGTGTATAGAACAGAGAAAGTGATTATGTGTGTTTTCTTTCAGATCCATGCTCCGGCTGACCTGTACCTGATGACCAAGAACCCGGAAGATTCTCCCAGCATCCCCGATGTACTGGAAATAGAGTTCAAAAATGGTTTGTGCTTGCAGCATGTGTCACCTGTTGAGTCCTCTGTCAGCATGTGTTGGTTTTAAAGCTTTACAATTTACAAAAGGAAATCCATGGTGTAGATCAGGGGTTTTCAACTACTTGTGACCAAGGGACCGCTATTCTGACTAAGAAGTAACCTGAGGACCACTGCTGCATGGCAGATAGACTAGATGGGCACTATTTTAATCATGAAGGTCACCTTGTCTTTTCTAAATTTTATATATTTACATGAATTTGGTTATTCACAAACAATAAGTAATACATGGAAATTAAAAAAAAAAGATTCCTACAGTGAAACTACATTACTTTATACATGGTCAGGGACCACCTTCATTGCCTTCAGAGACCACCAGGGGGCTGCGAACCACTGGTTGAAATCCCCTGATGTAGATGGATAAACTTAATTTGCCAAAACAAACAAAAACAAAAAACAATAATATGCAAGTTCAGAACTGACATGAATTTAACCTCATTAAAATTTTGTCAAATGTAATTTTCATTTTCTTTATATATGTGCATGATAAACAGCAGTGTTAAAAGTAAACAATGCGTTTCCAATTAAAAAGAAGATGAAATTAAAGTTAAAACATGTAAAACAGCAAAGGTCTAATTTGTAAAATATGTCGCTCATCAACTGAAGCTCATGTACACACAATGGAAAAGAAGTTTCATTTAGTTTGCATGAATTGTATTGAATGATACCAGTTGTGAACTTGTGCGTTGCATCAGTGGGAAGTGGTGTCCATCCTCGCTCGATGACCACTCCACAACATGCCCGTTCATGTTACTTAACATTGATGGTTGTAGCTGCAGGGTTACAGCTCTAATGTTGACCCGGCTGCACTTTATCGCCACCCCTGACCACCCAGACTTATCCTTAACCCCTCACAGCATTACTCGGTCCAGAGCTGCCCTGTTTGGCCCAGGGGCATGCACAGAGGCCGGAAGCATTAAGTCCAGCTAATACACCAAGCCCTGAGGGGGCTAGAGAAAGGCTCATTAGATATTGCTACGAGGGCTGGGCTGAATAGTGGAAAGTGTCACATGTTTGTGCAAAGAGAAAATGACAAGAAACATCCTAGCCTGAGGCAAATGGCACAGATGTCCCTTAATCTCTCATCACTAGTGGTGGCTGAAGCGCACAAACATCAAACGCCTGAAAGACACTAGCTCCTCTGATCACATGGACCCTATGAGCTATAATTGTAATTTAACGGAAGTTCAGAAGATTGGTAGAAGATTTGATGGAGATATTTGGCTGTCACAAGTCTGCTTTAAAAGTGCAAATTAAAATGCCATTTACCAGCCAACATTTACCAACACTGAAGTGGTGTTTAGATCATTTTACCAGTTTTCCAAAGAAAATATTTAAGTATAAATCAAATAGCCTAGTCTGGTTTCGCGGGTTCTTTGCAGGCCTGTGTTTTCACACATATTCTCCTTGCCTTTATTGAACAACCTATGACAAAAGCTGTTTAGCTGTCCGCACAAAGACCCGAGCCTACTCCCTCTGAGCACAAGATCAGCACAAGAATGTTTCATTTCATTCCCCCCTCCCAGCTTTTCATCCCTGCCTTTCTCACCAAAGTTTTCTCACTGATTAAAAAAGAATATTTAAAGACAGGAACCCCCCTCCCCGTCAAACACCCCATTCCTTTCCCTTTTTTTTAAATCATCCCTCCCTCCTTTCACGCCAAAGAAGTGTAGAGGAAAAAGAGACAGAGAGGAAAAATGTAAAGCAGTAATTTTTCCTACAACTGTGTCTGCACTCCCATTGTCTGCACTGTTAGGCTGCGAAAAACTCAAGAAAAGGATCACGGGAAGAAAAAGGCCCCTCAGTGAATGATAGATCCCACATGATGAAGAGAGTGAAACAGGGAGTGCAAAGATGAAAGGCCAGCCCCTACACTCTCATGTTCAGACACTTCATTTATTTGAATTTTTAATCTAATTATCAGGTATCCGGCTGGGGGCTTAATAATGTATCATCCATAATGCCCTCTGCTGCACTGGGAGGTACAGTTTCTTCTTCCACGGGAGCCATCACCATTCCTGCAATATGAGAATTGGCCATAAACAAAGCCTTTGTCTAAAAAAATGTGTCCAGTCCTTCACTTGTCATTCCTATCAGGGCTTTGTAAACACTGGCTGAAAGGCAGCAAGAAGTGCTGCTCTTCTCTTCAAAGCTACCTGAAAGACAACTGAAAGAATGCTACACTATGCATAGGACTGAACGATGGATGGATGGAGAATGAATATCAGCAGATTTTTTCCCCCTCTCCTCCTTGTGTACTTCTCAAATGGTTATAGTCACTTCCCAGCACACACACTGGGGGTCTTTCCATTATAGGAATCTACCGAAACGTGCCGTGCCAAGTAACATTCGTCATGAGTTCTACATTTGTTTCCACTACAGTGCGCCCACTTTGGAAGTGCATTCTACGAGCTAAATTTCAGCACCCCTCAGGAGGTAGTACTAAAATCAAGTACCAGGAACAGGAGGGGGGAATGGGTGTGTGCATGCAGAGCAGTCACCGGTGATTGGTTAAATGCCTGCATCTTCACACTTCAAGCATTAGCATTACAAGCACCATGTGTAAACACACAGCTGACTGGTGTGTGAGAGGGGAGCAGCCCCTCCCTCCTCTAAACAGAGACCAACACAGAGAAAATACAATGGAAAAACAAAGCAGGATGCTCTGCATCAACCCCGGAGGCTATGCTTGGTGGTGGTGGTTAAGGGAAGTACAGGGTGTACCACTCGTTAGGTTCCGATAGTGGAAACACACAATACATTCCTTTTCAGCCATGTCTCTGTTTCCTCGCCTCCACCTTTGGCCCGTGTTGTTCAGTGAAGGCCATGAATAAGCAGGTTCATGACAGTGATTGATATGCATTTGGTTTAAGTGTCTCTGGAGAGGAAGTGTGTGGAGTAAACGTGGGTGTCTTTTAAAGAACAACTGTGCATGCAAGAAACATAGTAATAGGAAAATAGGGTGATGAATCTCCAAGTGGTTTTGTCTCTCACATATGTGCATAAAAAAGAAGCAACACTTAGTGGCGCAAAAACATCTCAGCACTAAAGACAGTATGGGTGACAAAGCTGTGTGTGTAATTGAATCAGGTAACGGCCTGCCCACAATTTCACAGCTTTTAAATGAGCAGGGCCTCTGAATTTATTAGCCTTTCTCATCACCTTCTTTCTAAAAGGTTTTCACATTTAGCTGATGACTATTGATTTCGGTGACTGAAATAATGAATACTTGTCAACAGATATTATCAAGTAATTGTAGTTGTTATTATTATTTTTGACAATTTAGTCAGTTGAAATTTATTGTTTCATTAGATTTTGAAAAGCCATTTTCCAAATCCACTGAGTGAATTTATTTTCCCATTGTTTTTTGTGGTCTTTGTGCCCTTTTTTCAGTCTGCTTATACTGGATACTATTAGATACTATTGCTCTAGTAGTAAATGATACTATAAAATTAACATATTTTTTTATTAACATTCAAAATGAAAATATTTTTACAATGCAAAATATAATTCTGTGGTCACAGCAAAGGCAGTCAAGAACCAGAAACTATGTAAAACTTTATGGTGGGGGACTGAAAGAGAACAAAAACACAACTTAGGGAAACTGCTACTAATCAGATTTTGCTCTGCTACTACTGCGTTTTAGCAGTTGTCCTTCCATCACCTATCAACCAGCAAACAGGTTAAAGAAGTATTTAATACTTCATGTTGATGTCCGGTTCTTCTAGCCATGCTAACTCTAAGAGACGAGCCAGTCCAAGTAACTTCAAAACAGTGCTGATTTATTTCATGAACACAGGTAAAAATTAACATTACACGCTCAGGTATCTTGCACCTCCAAACTGCACGCAGGCAGATGTAAGATGAAAGACCCCCGAACCCACCAGGCCTATACATTATATCCCCTCGGTTGGGCTAGCCCCATACTACACAGAAACGTCAACCGAGACGTCTCTGTTGCCAGCTTTGCAGCTGGTCATAGCAGTAGTCAAAACATGAAGCAAATCAATGTGTGTGTGTGTCTGTTGATTAAGTGGTGTGTATCTAAAAACATTCTGACATGACATCTGGTGATATGTCATGACATTAAACATAAGAACATATTATGATTATGATTATGGTTAAACACATCATAATAATAATAATAATCATCCTGTCTTTTAACAGTCATTAACTTTTCTATCTAGTTATCCTTGAACATATGCAACCTGCAAAAACTCATGAGCATGACTAAGCATTTAACAGCCTACCTAGACATCCTGACTCCACTAAACATTTCTAATACATAAAGTACCTAACCAATGTCTATTTGACTAAAAATACCTAACAATGTGTATATACCTAAGTTTGCTGCTTTAATTGAAAAATTCAAACAGTACAAACAGCACATTTAACTCACATCAGGTGCCAATAAAGTAAAAATATACTGTCTATGAAAAAGATAATTTTCACTTTAGTAATGCATGACCATGACAGCTATTTAAGTAATGTTCATTTTCTTGTTGAGTTGAGTTGAGTAGTGTAGGAAATGAAGGGTAAAATTGAACAGGAATCTGGTTTGCTGCAGTTACTTTACACCAATTTAGGAAACGATAAAAAAAATCAAAATACATGCTTCTGTCTTTACCATGTTGGTATTTTTGTTTATCAAAGACTGGTATTGCTTCATTTTGACTGTAACACAATTTTTATAAACTAAAGATTTAAAAAAAATAACTAGTAAACTAATAAAGTTGATTTTTTTCATGTTTTTTTTATGTTGTGTGATATCATTTAATAAATTAAAGTTTTCTTTCTTAGGAATGCCTGTCAAGGTGACCAACGTGAAGGAAGGCACATCCAAGGACTCACCACTGGACATTTTCTCATACCTCAATGAGATTGGGTAGGCATATTTCATCGATTTCTGTACAGCATTTATAAAAAAATTAATCAGTGAGCCTTGTTAGATATCGGGTGTAAAGAAAGAGGCAGTACTTAAGTTCACCACCTCTGAAGTGTCTGTCATTGGCGACCTGGGGTTTAATCCCACCAGAGTTTTCCCTCCTGGGTCTCCTCCTTCATTAGAAGGTGATGTTTTTCACCAGCAGGTCATTTAATTAATTTAATTACATTTGTTACTTAATCTTGACTGTAAGCTAAATTAATTCAAGCTGGAATTAATGTGTGAATATGATTTTTTGGAAAGTTACATGCTTCCCTGTCTTTCTTTTAGAGGAAAGCATGGCATAGGCCGGATTGACATTGTAGAGAATCGTTTTATTGGGATGAAGTCCCGAGGTAAAGAATTAAAATTTACATTTATTTTTTTTACCCGTGTTGGTTATGACATTTTTGCTGTTTGTAAGAAATTTGTCTGACAGGTTGCTTCACTTACACAAACAGTGATACAGTAAATTCAGTGTAAATTCAGTAGGAAACACAGATTTGCACTTACTCTGACTTATTGATATTTTAATTTTACATCCATTCAATGGCGTTTCGTTCAGTACCCCAGGCTTTCATGCAATTTTCAGTTATTTTACATGAGTGCTTTAAGTGCCACACTTGCTATTCTGGTTCCATAAAAGTGGGCTGGAAGGCAAACACGCTCTCCTCAAAAGAAATTTTTTCATCTGAATCACCTGGAATCATAGACACTGAAGTTACTGTACTTCTATTTACACACACACACATATACAAAACACACACTGCAATCAAGATAACAGCATACACACTTCACTGGATACACCCAAATACACAGTGCACATATTTACATATTTCACAGGAATGTTTTTCCTTATATCTTTGGTATCAACAGTCAACTTGAAAAGCTCCTTTGTCAGGTTACTACATGTGTTACCACAGCAACTGTGCATGGCTAGGGAGTTGTCCTGGCCATACGCTCTCACACAGACACAGACGCCCACACAAACTCTTCTTCCCCCACAACACTATGTGCTATGATTGGCAAATTGACCGGCCAACAGACTGTGGCTGTGGCACAACTTGGCAGGTAGAAATTGGAAAATGGGAAGCCCACTTTTCTCTCCCCTTGGCTGAACAAAAGATCAAAGCTTTTTCCTCCAGTGAAGCAATAGGAAGAGGTGGAGTACAAGGTGTCCAAGCGGTTGAATAACTGCCACCGAGTGTACATGCTGGTCTCCTCTGGAGTGGCAGTCGTGTTAGCAAAATATGTGATGGGAGGGATTGAATGGGGACATGCCATACTTATTCGAGTTGGGTCATATTCATTTGTGAGGGGTCAGGGAGGCGGAGGGGGATTGAAATGGTTTGTCAAGAATGTTGTCACAGAGCCACAAAACGTCCAGCAGCCTGTGTGTCAGACTAACATTTCCCACCTGTCACAATGCTGTCAGACCTCTGACCTGTGCACCAGTGATGGCGCACTTATCAGAAGCAATCGGAGGTGGCTTTATCTTTTGATGATGGACAGGCTGTCTCGTGTCCAGTTCCTGCTGCGGTGATACTAACAGTAATACAAACATTTTTAATGTATTTACTTTTTTTTATTCAAAGAAAATTATTTTCTATCATTTCTATCCATCTTGAGTTCTTTATCTGTATTTATTGCCTGTTTAAAGCTGGACTGACAGTTTGCCCCAGAATTCAGGCCTGCAGTGTGGTTAGTGTACCTGCAGCAACTGTATAAAAGATTAAAGCCCAAAAAACCACAGGAGGTGTTGTTTCCTTAAGCTTAACTAAACTGCCACTGTTGGCGATTACCCAGATAGTGCTTCATTGCTTGCTCTTCTCTCCTAAGCTAGCTCTCTTTTGGAGCACTTAAGCCAAGTTGTGTTGGAGGGCAGTTTTAACTTATTTATCTGATAGAGCCAGTGGAAATGTTCCTGTGTGCCCCCCGTGGGTCACCAAAAAGCAACAGGATCAGGTAACATACTTTCTGAGGCTTTAGACAATTAGCAGGATTGCTAAGCTGTGTTTTTGGCCACCAGCACCAAGTAAGTGCTTCTCCGTTTTCACATCAGTCCAGTGCTGGAGAATTTGAAGCTGTACAGATTTGAGATGCACTGCTTGCTCGATTGGAAGAGAAACAACAGCACTCATCTGTTAAATATCAGTCCTGTAGTCAGGAGTACACCACACAGATGGTGAAGTTTGGCAGCTTAGCGCTGGCTGTAGTGCATCTGTTGGGTGGCTTGGCAACTTGAATCATAAAAGTGTGACTGTCATTCAAATTGACAGATGATGAGAAGACCCATGTATTGGATGGGGAAACAGCATTCAGTTTATCACAATTTCAGCTCTTACAAAAATGAATGTCATTGATAAAGCTACTATTTTTGTTGTCAGTTCTGCCCTCCTTTGTTTTAGCTGACATTTGAGTGACAGCTTCATTTCTCCTGTCATCTACATCATCTTTTCTTCCCCCAACCTGTCCCTCCCTGTCCGGAGGGGGTAAATTGCAGGGTAGGCAGATCTCTGGCCCCGGCTCCAGGCTGGCAGGGGCCTCCTACCCTGTCATTTACCCAGGACTGGCTCATCCATGATTTGTGAATGCTGCGAAGGCCCGTCTGTCAGACCACTGATGTTTTGTTGTAGTTAGTTCAGATTAACAGAGCTTGTACTTTGTTATTACGACTGGCCTGATGAAGATGATGACTGTGCCACCGTTCATAGTGAAATTAAGGGATGTGTTGGAGGAAATCAAAAATACAATTTCAGTATTTAATTTTTATTAATTAGTTAGTTATTAGTTTTTATTTTCTTAGATTCACATTTCTATCATTTGGATCTTAAAAAATGTAGACCATCATGATAGTGATGTGATATTGTGTTGAAGATTGGAGATGAGTGGCATTATAAAGTCTGTTGAAGGTGTATTCTTTGCCTAACTGGTTGTTAACTCATGCTCAAAAAACATATTCTGCTTTTGTGTTGTATGTGAATATCAGGGATTTATGAAACCCCAGGAGGCACCATCTTAATAAATGCCCATTTAGACATTGAGACCTTTACCATGGACAAAGAGGTACGACGGATCAAACAGGGACTGGGTGTCAAGTTCTCTGAACTGGTCTACAACGGTAAGTCTCTAAAACCCATCAACCTAATTTGATTTTCATTTTTTCTCTTATATGTTGTCTTTCATTCTTTTTTAATTTTGATGTATTAGTTTAGTTGTTACATTTTTTTTTATCCAGGAATGACATAAATTTCAAGGACAGACCACTCAGAAGTGTGATTATTATCATTACAAATTCAGTTTTAACATGCTGATGTGCTGAGGTTCTGTCTATAATAATGTCACGATTGTTAAATTCTGTACTAATCTCCTTTGTACTGTTAAAAATGTCTCCAAAATTGTGTGGGTAAACACTGATAGTTGTTTGTTTCAGAAGATCCCAACGTCGCTGTGGACTTTAAAAGGAGAAAAGTGAATACACACATGTGTGTTTTGTATATTTGTGTGTGTGCGTGTGTGTGTGTGTGTGTAAGCTTTTCTCAGCTCAGGTGTCTTAATCCTCGCTTCTGCTCAGTCTTCAGTCCCCTGCACCTTCATCCACATAATAGGATCAGTGCCATTAGAGACTGACTACTAGGCCACTTCACGTATACCCTCCAGAGACAGGGAGCAAACACACACACACACACACACATAAAGGTGCTACCTTCAGAAGCAGGACAGAGATTAAACCCATTGTGGATTTAAATCATTAATAACTTTGGCTGGTGAAGTGGTTTCTGTTAACAATCCACCTGTCTGTTTTACATTAATACTGCACTACCTATCCAAACAGATGTTTTTATGGGAGAAGTTGAAGCAATTAGGTTTATTGCATTAGTGATACAACAAGTAGAGAGTAAACAGCCTAATTCATAGCAGTTAATTGATTAATATTACTGATTTTAAATAATCAACATTTAAAAATAACTGGGAAAAAACTTTATGCTTGTGATTAGTGGAGCAAATTCTTAGTGCATATACTTAAAAAATGACATATTAAAAACTTCTTTTGGACCTGGGAACATGAGAAAGATATTTTAGATTACTATATAAATTAAATAGATGAAATGATGATTTGATTAAAATCATAATTAAAAGCCCAAACCTTCCAAAAGAGCCATGATACACTGACAGTGACACATAGACAAAGCTAACATGAAGTGAATCTACCTGACTCTAAACTGAAATGGGATCTGTATGTGTGCCACTGTCATGTCCGATACATCATGCAATCACAGATAATAAAAGCAGGGAAGGATTGTGTCTTTGAACATGGCCATATGATGAGGTGGAGGTCAGCTGCTGATGAGAGGAGCACCCCTGCTGAGTGGGGCGTGCCTGACCTCTGAACATATACAGACACATCCCTCACCCATCTGTCTCTGAGACTGATGTGCCAGGTCGGTGAAATGGGATAAAACAAAGGGGTGTATGAACTTCACCTGGAAGAGAAAAGAGACCAAAGCACAGAAAGAGTCATATCGAGAGGGAACAGTGGTCATCACAGAGATCCATGTAGACCCTGCTGCTAATAAAGGATTTGCAAAGGAGGAGTCTCTCTCTTTACTTGCTGTATTCCATATACTGTGTTTTGGCACTGCCCAAATTAATAACATTAATAATATACATACAAATATCAACAAAACTGGCACTTCATTGGCCATTTAGGTGTCTTGTGTTTCAATGAACTCAAAAACAGTAGAACCTAAAGGCTTTTAAGCAGGCCTTTATACTTTTTGTTACATGTAATTTGTTCCTGTTTCCTCATTCACCTCAGGTTTCTGGTACAGTCCCGAGTGTGATTTTGTGCGACACTGCATTGCCAAGTCCCAAGAGAATGTGGAGGGCAAAGTACAGCTGTCCCTCTTCAAGGGTCAGATCTACATCCTGGGACGAGAGTCGGCCAAGTCTCTTTACAATGAAGAGCTGGTCAGGTAAGGTAAAGTGTGTGTGTGGGGGGGTGGGGGGCTTGTAAAACAGACATAGCCCGTGTCAGTGAATCAAAGTGTGTGCTTGTTCTTACTTTACAGCTGTGTTTAGCTGCTGTGGGCACAGTTCAGCTACTCCACATGTTCACCAGTCAGTCTGTTGTTAGGTCAGCGTGCCCAAGTTCTCTTATGACCTCCACATCAGCATACTGAACCGACCCTGCCTCACAAAGACATCAGAGATGTGTCATGCTCAGTTCCTGGAGGGCAGCCCCTGACCCAAACCCCTCCTGCTGCACCCCTGTGCCCTCTTAGCTGCAGCAACAGTGGGTTTGTTCAGTAGGCTGACCCTTCATGCCCTCTGGGCAGGCTCAGCACTGACCAAAGTAAAACCCCTCCATATGCCCCTCCATCTCCACTTCAGACATGCACACTTCACTTGTACCCTAGAGTCAGAGAACTAATGGTGTTTTCAGCCAGAGGAGAGAAGTGATTTCACTGGGCTTTTAAGAGGAAAATACAGGGGGGTCATGCTAGTTAAGCTGGTCAGAAAGACAGAGACAAGGAAACATGCCTCACACAGTCAGCCATTCAGTTTGGCAAGTGAAAAAGCCATGAAAAAAAATCAATACTGTGAGCGTATAGTTTGTCCTGTGAGATAAATGGAGATTATACTGTACTTAGACTGTGCCTTCACATAGCCCTTTTAACCCATATTATATTAGCTTGTTACTTTGTTGCATTGTGTTTTCAGAAAAGCATTTAATAACCAACTGCTGAGTCAGTCTCAAGATAAATTACGACTTTCAAACAGTTAACTGCTAAGAAGCCATCGAAGCTGAAGGCTCATTGTGCTGAGATGCATTTCTGGGCTCGGATGGCACGAGTGTGACAGATGCAGTACTGCTGCATCACAAAGTCCTTGGGGCCACGGACAGATGGCACCAGGGGTTCCCCATAAAGGAGCCCGAACAGAAACCACCACAAATCAGTCTCAAATGCAGTCACACACACACACACACAATGGCACACAACTCTATATCATGCTTGTGGAGAAGACTCTACTGTGACTGGCTGAACTGTGTGTTTTCAGATAACTGCACTCCTACTTTAAATCTCCTACTTGTTGAAGTACTAAAGTATCTTTAATTCAACTTTGGCATAGAGCTTAACTGCAGCCTGGCCAATACTGGATTCTTAAGTCCAGTACTAATGTTGACATTTAAGAATATCAAAGAGTCAATAACAGTATATCCTGAGATGTTCCTTTTTGTGGAAATGCAGACATTTTTATGGCAAGCATACCTCAGTTTTTTTTTGAAGAATCGGTAACTGGGTGTTTTACATTACATAAATTGTTTTTATAAATAAAACCACAAATTATTCAAAAATGTACTTAATCAAAGAAAAACAATGGCCTGGTGTCTCCAGGGTTGTTTCCTATCTAATAAAGGCATAAAATGCTCCAGGAAACAAAAAATGATGGTCACAACACTAAAAACAGGCAAGTATCAGTCTTAATATTTAACAGAATATTCTAGTAGGTGGAAAGTGTTCACGTTGTAAGAGGAATAATCTGGTATAATAATGTTTTATTAGGGTAATTGTAGATTATCATAATTTCTACAATCCCATATGCAGTACATGCATCTAACAGTGGCATACCTGGAAGCAGCAGCCTTACAGCCACACTTTCATTTGCCTCCACATGAAAACCGGGCACAATTGCTCACATACACGCACAGACCAGATTAGGCGTGAAAACCCTGCTGACATCGTGGTGGCTCACCACAGGCAACAGAAAACGACGTCATTAACACACTGGTAATACAGCCTGTCACCCGCACCCGTCTGAGACAGAAATGTCACCCTCCTCGCTGTCCGCTGGCTCCGCGCTCAATTAGACTGCAGGGTTTCAGTGCAAAAAATATCACACGCTCTCACACACACACACACACACACACACACACACACACTGTTATGTATTCTTTCATGCCACTCATAATGGTGTTCAGGTGCTGGGTAGGGAGCCTTGTATTGAGAGTTGATGATTTAGTTGTCGATCTTTCTTTTTATAGTGTTTATCCTATCATTTGTTGGCAATTTCCTCTTTTGCTAAGTGCTTTTGAAGAATGAGTGCAAGCTGTACATTGGGTGTTGGGGGTGCCTTAAGGAGGAGACTCAGTGAGGGAGTGTATTAAGCGCTGCAGGTAGAAACTGCTGTAATTACACAGCACACAGACACTCTTTGTGAGACACTCGCACTAAAAAGAGTTGACTATACAACAAGCAACCTAAACAACACCGAACAGGCAGCAGCAGAAGTTATAGATGCACTACTTTTTAGGAGTAGAGGATAAACTGGAAGACAAACATCAAATTACAAAATAATCTCAACACTTAGCTCACAGTTGCTATGATGGGATTGTTTGTGCGTCTTTTGTGTGCTTGTCTACATAAGTGTGATTTAATTCGCCTCTATTGATTCTCCATTATTCAGGACAAACAATGCTAAAGAAGAGCGTTCAGGGGAGAATCAACCAGAGTGCTATTTCTAAGAGCAGATTATCAGTGATCCAGTTATCACAGCAGTTGATGAGGCTCCATGTCTCTTATATCTACTGCAGTGACATCAAACATTTCATTCACTTTGTTAGCAGAATATCCTTTTCTTTCAGTTCTTGTTTGCTCTGGAGCTGTTTTCCTCCAACCTCAAATTTGAAAAATGGCTTTAGTTTGGCCTCATACCTGTTTGTTGACTCCTCTTTTCACTCCAGCATGGACATTCAGGGAGACTATGACCCATGCGATGCCTCTGGATTCATCAGGATTAATGCTGTCAGGTTTGCACTCATTTCACCTTAAGATTAAGTCCAAACAGCAGGAAAACATAAGGCTATTAGTTAGATTGTCTGTATATATATATCCATCATACTGTACCTACACCAAAACTTCCCTCTTAATCTTTTATTCTTCTCATTCTCCTTCCCTCTCCTACAGGTTAAGGGAACACCATCGTTTGCAGGGTTTCTCTAGCACCAAGCAGTAACTGCTGCAATCTCATGAACCACTCCATCTTGTCTAAAGCGTTAGTAGATTTAGACCTTACACTTCCATTGTCTATCTTTTGTCTTATTTTCTAGTGTTAGTTACTTTAGCATCAGGATATCTTACACACTAGTAACCACCCCAGAATTTTACTGGATACACATGAAGTGATGAGGAGCAAAAGAAGAAAAAGCTACAACATGTAATGTGACGTGAAAAAATGTCAGGTCTACAGATCAACATTAAATGCATTGTGGATGAACAGTTTTATTAGTTTGCATGTATTCGTATGTTATTTCCTCAGTTTGTCTGGTTCTTGGTATCACTATAGGCCAGAGCTTGAATTCAAATATTTAGGAATACTTTGTTATAGAAATAAGATGAAGTGAAATGTGTTTTCCACTTCAGCTCTTTCCTTAATTTATCACAGAACAGAATTAGTATTTCTGATCAGTTTCCATGTAGTGACATTCATCAGCCCCTGTTATTGTGCATGTGTTAGTGATTAACAGTTCGTGTTTTTGGCAGACTGCCTATTTATTAATGCCTGCCTGTTTAACTTATGAGGCCCTACAGTCACTGCCCCTTGAAGATTTTCGGGTCAGTGAGGATGCAATCATATTTACAATATGCAGATGGAGCAGTGCAGGAGTTTGGCACAGGTGAAAGCGAACATGGTGGCTCACCAATACGCACTGGAGCAGAGGTAATGAGGCTGTTTCTGAGCTCAAATGGCATAAGTAAGGTGGAAGGAAAACCAATTGACCACATATGTATATTTCGCTGCTCGAACATGGTGTTATTTTTTGCATATTGTCCTTGAAAAATATTTAATATAAAGAAAAATGAGAAGCTGTGGATGCAGCTGCTTTCTGACATGAAATGGGAATCAGATACTGAATGAACAAATTGAACATTTATCAGTCAGCAAAAATTGCTAAATTATTTTATGTGGCATGATGAACATCCTCAAAATTCACATGACACACATGACAGCATATTCCTGTCAAATTGCAGTGGCAGAGAGAAATACTGCAGCCGGTTTTGAACATACTGACTAGGATGGACAGTTATTTACCAGGAGGTTACACCTGAAAATGTATAAGCTTTGCCACTGAATTGAAAGACTGGGTGAAACATCTCACCTTGCTTTGTCCAAATGTAACAAAATCCCTCTACAATTAACATGCTGTGTTTATTTAATTCCTACAAAAACCAAAGTGTAAAAAGAAGGGATTATGAGCAAGACTACAAGTTTACATTTGCAAATGTCTGCTATTATAAAAGGAAATAACACTAGGTGGTATTTCTTTCTTAAGCTTTCTGTTTCTGGTCTAAGCTAAGCTAAGTTAATATGCTCCCTCTGGCTTCAGGTTCATGTTTAACATGCATGTGTGGGAGTGGTACAACTCTTGTCCTCTAATCTCTACAAGAGATTGAGCAAGAATATTTCACAAAATGTCGAACCATTTAAATTAACAATCAATTAAGTGCCATGCTGTGAGAGTCACGAGTTCCTCTGCAGGAAATATAAACAATATGAGACCATTTTTCTCTCTGTGGTCCAAACTGCACTCCTTCATAAATGTCACCTATTCAGAAATGAATGCTACAGCAATTTAAGGGCTTTTCCTGGACAGTAAGAGGAAGTAAAACCATCACAAAGAGTTATGAAGATATATTTTACACCTTCTTAATTCCTCAAACAAAAGGGTGGCTTTCTCTAACTCCCATTACAGAGTTCAAGACATCTACCACAGCAGTTTCAGAGGATGGGGATATGTATGAGATTTGTTGTTAGGTGTTTGAATCTACTTGTCCCTTATATATTTCAGAAGGATCCATATTATATCACCCTTCACAGCAGGAGACAGCAGCTGTTTCCGTGTGCACCTCTCCCCAGTCGCCACCAATGAAAGGTGTCAGTGCTGCATTAAAGTGTTGGGAACTGTGTGGACCTCATGGTGAAGTCCACAGGCACAGGAGACCCCCTGCCAGGTCTAATGGGCGACGAGGAATCCTTGGACCCTTTCAGTCCTACGAAACCCCCTCAGCCCCCATTCAATTACACGGCAGGCGTCTCAGTCTTTGCCTGGTCAATTACCAGCCAGTCCCTGCATTTACTATGGTGTACATACAGGTTGCAAGATAATCAGAGTCCAAAATTGCCTGGTTAGAATGAAGGGATGGATGGAGAGGCATTCAAATTAGTCAGTCAAGCTGAAGGGGAGGTAGGAGGGATGGGGACAGCTATCAGTCTCAATCTGGCTTTGGTGGTTGGAGGAGGAGGATCGTGGTGACCTTTCAACTTTGGTTCTGGAAAGATCTGCTCTTGGGAAATTTTTACTGATGTGATAGCTGTCATGTACAATATGTGTGCATTTGTTTTGACAATAGTAAGAGGGTTTCTGCATCATGTGACCTCTGCTCCGGACTCAGTTTTATTTTAGCACAGTCTTCACTAATCAACAATATCGGCTGTGAATGTGTGTGTGCCTTGATACACATCCACTTACCCACTCATCTAGTGTGTCTCATATTCCATTCTTCCCCTCCCTCCTACCTGTCTACTCAGCCAGCCAGGTATGAAAACTGGCTGACACCTGACCAAGGGAATTAATCATCCTTGACCCCGGACCAATTACCCCTCATTATCCGTTCTGTGTGTCATCTCTCAGGGGAGAGTGCTGTAACAATAGAGCAACATGAAGGGTGGCGGCATCACTGGACAGAGGCCTAATGGACACTCTTGTGCCACCGTATCTTTTCAGGAGTCCAGGTCAACTAACCTTCAAGTCCTTGTCATTCTCCAACAGCACACATACAAAGGAGGTTATTGTTCAGGATCACAGTCCATGACCTCTTGAGATGAAGTGCAGAGGGCCTGCTGGAGATGCCAGAGGAGCCACTGAAATGGATGATTCAGTGTTTGGGAGAACAAGAAACTGTACAGTCACTTTTTTCTAGATTCACTAGGCCTTAAAGTGACACTGCCAGTTTGTGAAAACCTCTGGCTGATGTCCATGCTGTCTTTCAGTGTGGTAACAGCTGGCTTTTTAAATGTTGTATCCATTAACAAATGATTATAAGTTTCCTTATTTGTAATAAACCACCAAGTCTGTAGTTGTGGTTAGTCATTAATCAAGAGGGTTTTTTTAACACAAATTCTTAGAGTGTATAAATGTTAAACATTTCACAATATGTTTATTTTGGCCTGCATTCTCCACAGCCCATTTATAGGAGGAAAACCCAAGTGATTTTCACAACCTGGCCACCCAATATTAATAATTTTGTAATAATAAAAATATTTTTAAACCTTAAATGAATCTCGTAAACTAAAAACCTTAAACTGTTACAATTACTGTATAAACCCCTTATTAGTGAGTGTTACCTGTAGTTTGTTTTTTCTCTTTAGGTCAATTTTTTGCCATATGTCAGTCTTTCTGGCTTGCTAGTTCATTTAAGTTACTTTTGTAACCACTGGAAATGTATATTTAAACTTAATAGGTGGAGTGCTAATATGAAGTATTAATACTTTAGTTGTCTAATCTATTCATAAACTAAATAAAGGTTTGAATAAAGGGCATCATGCTTTCAAAGTCTTTTCACCAAGTAACAGTGACATTCGTTTGTGGGTGAGAAAGAAATAGTTGACTAAACAAAGCATGAGAACGTCTCCTGTCTTTTACCCATCAGAATATTTAGTGGTTATTCAATCTGCGCTCTTCATCTACCTGTCTGTGTGTAAAGAGCTCCCGTTTTCACTGAGCCTTCCTTTTAAAACACAATAAGGTAGGAACAATGACCACGCAGGGTTAATTACCACCAATTAGAGGCTGAAGTGACTCTCCCTCACTGTGCACGGTGTGTAACTCAAGACCAGAGAGCTGTGTGGAGGCTCTATTGTAACATCAGTCCTCATGTCTCTGGTCCTCACTGGGAGCTCAGCCTTTCTTTCACTTGCCTCCAGGCTCAAGGTTGGATACTTCAAATATTTCTACATTTCATTCAGCTTGTCCACAGAAAATTGAACATTTTCTATTTTATTCTCAGTTTCACTGAAACACCTCAGGTCATTTTTTTGCTTCCTGTTCATTTTCCTTCTTTCATTTGTCTGTTACTTTTATACTGTTAACACCATCACATTATTTTTTATCTCTCCTTCTATTAGGAGCACTCAGTTATATCTCAATCAGCTGTCAGTTGCTTCTTGCTTTTCATCATTTCACTTAATACTACTTTACTTAGCAGGTAAGGGTTAATGGACTAATCTCTTGAGGTTTGTGTAGAAAGCTAATGGGCCTGGCAAAGATGAGGTCACTCTCTTACTTCTAAGAAACAACAAGCGATTTACAGGCCAGGATACCATGCCAATATGGTTGGCTTACTATTAATGTATTATTTATATTTTTATCTTTTATATTCCCTAGGACCACTCAATGAAATAGGATAAATAAGAGCTTCTAAAAACTGAAGTACAAGCAGGAAGGATGTGGAAATGTTTTAGCAAACATTTCTTAAAGTCATGAGTCACTGAGCTTGACTCCATTAGGATTGTGAAAGTGATGCTGGACAAACAGAAAAAAAGAGGACAAAATGCTTCTTCAGCAAGTTGTATTAATTTGCTAATTGACACTGTGACTCAGCTCATTCACTGGGTGTAAATAACACTGATGTAACTTAATAGCACTGATTTGTTCACTTCAGTCATACTCATGAAACTTGATCTACTGCTACAGACCATCTGTGAGGAGCCACCAAAATAAAGCAGGATGCACTTTGCCTTCCAGGCTTGCTAATATCATTGGAACCTGTCAAAGTGTACATCTGTGTGTGTGTGTGTGTGTGTGTGTGTGTGTGTGTGTGTGTGTGTGCCTATTTTCTGGTGTCAAAGGACACCCATATGCTGATTTCCTGAAGATCTATAGACAGATGGAACCATTACGGTCAAAGACCCCTGGCTTTGTTTGGCCTGAGCCGGTGATGAAATATTGATGGAAAAATAGAAATATTTTGCCAGCAGTTCAATGTTGCCCGTCTAAGAGGGTTAATGAGTGTGAAGACTTCCCTGTCTCATGTTACAACAAAATGTGGTTCAACTACCCACTAACAGTGACTGGACTGTAGTCTATAGGCTCTTTGGGGCTAACAAGAATCGATAACCTTTTGCAATGCCGGATTAA